GCGCGCGGCCCACGCGGAGGCGCAGCCTAGGCGGCCAACGGCCCACGACGGTGACGGCCTGCGAGTGAAGGCGATTATGCACGGGCACCCCTGAACTATAACGAAATCGCAGCGAACTCTAAGCCACTATTGAATCAGTCAAGCTTTTACAACAAAGACCCTCCGACTTCTACGTCTTTACTGTGGTGAAGTCCCCGACCATCCAGTAGCGCGCGCCGCCGGCGCACAATGGCAACAGACGGATGTCTCACGCCGCCACCCCAGCCCTCCCCTTACTAAAATAAAGAGCCGACACTCACCTATGTGCGAACGCAAATCGCAGGGCGGAGACACACGCACCGAGACGTCGCGGCGAGCCCGGACCACGACGGTGGGCACCCTGCAAGCACGGCGATGCCGTTCCGGTGATCATCAGCACGGCTGAGACAAAGCAAGGAGCGTACGAGTATGAGCGACTCACCACGGAACTGGAAGACGCGAAGAATCGATCGGAGATGGCTCAGGCCGAGCCGGCCACGTGCGCGCGATGAGTGTAGCGGAGCACAACAATGGCACGGCCGCGCCACAGGTAGTACTACAGCGGTAGGGTCTAGGATATGGCGAGCATGGTGACAACCAACTGAAGGGGAGGCTAGTGACGCGAGGAATTTGACTGAGCAGCTTTGGTGGCGAAGAAAACCGACGGCGCCGGCACTCCAGGTCTTAAGGACCTGAAAACTCGGCCCTTTAAAATTGGCGCACAGAACTGAGCTACAGGCGGCTATGAGGGGCAGGATGGGCGACCGGCTGCCCAACGGAGCTGCGGGCAAGGCCAATTGGAACTTGGTGCAACCACTACGGCGAATTGGAAGAAACGTCACGGCGGCAAGGGGACAGCGGAGACAGGGGAGGTCCTAGCACGGCATGGCTCGTCTGCGGCGGCGCAACACTTCGACGCACCGACGCGTTCGGTCATGGGGACCCTCGTATGTGCTCCGCATACGTTAAATGCACGGCGGCGCGTCACGAGCAAAGAACGACGAAACGCGGCATGGCGCCGCAGCGGGTAGTACCAGCCAACGAACACCGCGACGCGATGTCGAGGTGATGGTGAAACAGGCCGATGTCCAGCGCGCAAGCAGCCAAGGGAGTCAAGACACGGTACCGGCGTAGCCGCTGACGACGCGAACGCGGGACCCGGTGGCGACAACGGCCACGGCGGGGCAGGGTAAGGCGCTGGCAGAGCACGGCTGGCGGCCAGGGCGCACGCGTCAACTGGCGAGGCGAGCAGCAGCGGGGCGGTGGTCGCAGCGGCGGCAATGAAAGCGGCAAAGGGCTGTGGCGCCAGTCGTCGTGGCGCGCGCACGCGCAGCGAAAGCACAACCGACGCGGGTGAGGTTTCTAGCTCACGCAGCAGCAGAGCGCCGCAAAGCCAACCGGGGTGGTGACCGCGCCCAGAGCTCAGCCAGGTGGCGTGCACTATATTTAAAGCAGCTAGAAATTGCGTACGCCATGCTCCAAACGCTAAGCTAATTGCTGGATGCGCAAAGGGTACAGCGAGCCATCAACCCCAGTCGCGACATTGCGCTACTCCTTAAGCCAATTGTTCTACAAATAATGCCAAAGATGGCTTCGTCGACCTCTTCTAAAAACCTACGTGAAGGACGTCGATTCGAATGGTTTCGCGTCAAATCCCAAACCCGACCCCCGGGACGTACTCACTAGCCATCCATGTCTTCGGCCGCACATTTTTATCGCCGTTCGCAAAAACGTTTTATAACATTTGGTTTTAACAAGAATTCGATTAAGATAATAAACACGTTATGTGACATGAAACATAACACTCGCTTTCCCGTTTCGTAAAAAATGTTTCAATGCCAAACATTGATTATAAAGCCTGTCCTACACAAGATGCTTACGAAATGTTTCAGCAAAACATTACAATGTAACACCAGGGTGTTACACCGAGTATCCCTGATCATCATCCCCGCTAGCCGCTAGGTCCATAGACGATGTGAGGAGAGCTTGTTGTAGAATCGATGAGTCCATCTCAAGCTGAATCCGAGAGATCCAAAGGTCTGTTGCTGCCTGCAAGGCTTTAGCGCACGCAGACGCTTCAGTGGTCACCACGTCCAGCACTGCGGTATGCCGGCCCGCCCCAGTGATGATGGCTTCACCTTGGTGATCCCTGGAAACGAAGCCCCAGCCGCCCTTTAGGGTCCCATGAACAAAAGCGCCGTCAATATTAATCTTCAAGAGGTCCGGTGGTGGAGCACGGCCAACGCTGCTCTCTTCTTGTTGTCAATTTAGGTGCATTCTTCTCCTGCCCTATGAGTTCGCTCATGAACTTCAGGACCTCGCCGACGACCTCTCCTCTTGTCAGACCCCTCTCTCCATGATTCACCCGATTAGGAAGCTCCACCACTTCCATAGCAGGATCACAGTTTTCACACGATGCTCCTAGTCTAGATGCAGCACTTGCTCGACCACATCCCACGCTGATGGTTTGATTAGTAGCTTCTGTCGAACGTGCTCCAGTTGGAGATCAAGCCAACAGTGCTTCACAAATTTACATTTCTGGAAACAGTGCCCGCCATCCTCGTCAAGCCTATTACAGACAGGGCATCGAGTGTCTAGTGTCATCCCTTGCCTCTGAATGTTTAGTTTGAGCGCTAGGCTGTTGCAGGCTAGGCACAACAAGAAGTGCTTCAGCTTTAGTGGAATTTGTAGTCTCCATATCCTGCTCCAAAGCGTGCTTGTCCGTTCAGCAGAAGAATTGCTCGAGCTGCTCTGGCCTTCTTGCCAAACCTATGCACGTTCTTTGTCATCATCTAGCACATGATACGCCGATTTAACCGAGAACAGACCTTTTTGGTCAAAGTGCCAGGCCAGGCGATCTTCATGCCTAGGATTCATTGGTGTTGCCAAAGTATGCAGGACATCCTCTTCCCAGAAAATATCGTGGACGGTTTGTTCATCCCACCGTCCCGTTTCTGGGTCCATCAGTTCCTCCACATGAGTTAGCAGAGTCTGCCCACGTGGAGTGATTGGACGCCTGGTAACCCCATGGCCTATCCAAGGATCGTCCCAAATCCTGATGCTACTTCCATCTCCAACTCTCCATACAAGCCCCTTCTGCAAGGCCTGCAAGCCTCTGATTATGGATGAAAACGGTACGGATATTTTCCGACCGTATTCGAGACCGAATCCGTCTAGAGGGGTTCAGATCTGTCCGTATCTGAGTCCGGATATTCAACATCCGATACTGTATTCGTATCCGAATACTGAAATCGCATATTTATGACGTCGACATCGAATCATATCCTATTCGGCATGGCTAACACTATCCGTCTTCGAATCCGAATCTGATCAGAAATATGAAAACAAATGTAATATCAGTGATATCCGTTCGTATCCGATCCGTTTTCATCCCTGCCTCTGATTATGCTTCGCCAGGTGTAAGAAATTCCTGGCCCTTCATTAGCTTCAAGTAAAGAACCACCTGCACCATATCTCGCCCTTAAATCTGGGCACACAAGGAGTCCGGATTTTGTATTAAGCACCATCCCCGCCGTGCCAAAAAGGTGCAGATCTCTATACCCAAGCCCTCCTTTCTCCTTCCTCTGACATATCTTCTCCCAAGAGACCCAGTGCATTTTGTTCTCTTTATCTTGCTGCCCCCACCAAAATCTACAAATCATCTGGCTCATGTCATCACATAGCGACTTTGTCAGATCGAAACATGACATAGCATAAGAGGGTATCGCCTGTGCCACAGCTGTGATCAAGGTCTTCCCGGCTTTTGACAGGAGCTTTTCTTTCCACCCCTGAATTTTCTTCCAAACCCTCTCTTTCAGATAGAAAAACATACTGGCCTTTGATCTCTCCATGTATACAGGTAAACCCAAATATTTGTCATTCATCGATTCCTGTGTTAATTCCACCACATCCATAAAATTTCTCCTATCATGTGCTTTTGTATTCTTGCTAAACATAATAGATGATTTATCCTTATTAATTATTTGCCCCGAGCATATCTCATATAAATGTAGCACTTGTCATAGATGTCTTGCATTCTCTTCAGTTGCTTTCATGAGAAGCAAAGAATCATCATCATCTGCGAACAGGAGATGAGTGATGCTTGGAGCATTTGCAAAGAACTATCGCTTTGGCATAGACCATGTCAACATCCAGGTTGTTTGAAAATCTTAATTTGGGACTCTAAACAGTTTCAAAAAAATCAAAATCTTTTCAACTACAAAGTTGTAGATTACGTCGAGGGCTACAATTTTGATATAAAGTTTGTCTTCATCCAAATTCATATGAAAAAAGTTATGAATTATTTTTTGATGCAACTATTTATAGAGACGGCCATCTTAAGATATCTGTTTCTAAAAATCAATTTTTAGCGACGAAAGCTTAGAATGGCCACCTCTATTAATACCGATTTTTAAAGACGGAAATTTTAAGATATCCGTCTCTAAAAATTAATTTATAAAGGCGATCATCTTAGGACGCCCACCACTATAAATGATTTTTAGAGGCGGGCATTTTTCTATAGGCCCTTTGACCATTTACGGAGATAGTCGCTAGATGTGCCTTTCTTCAGAGATTGTCTCCTAAAATTGTTTTTCTAGTAGTAAAATTACATTCTATGAACACTTCGTGTTGTATATAATAGCATTCTTTCCCGTTCAAGCTTACCGGTCCTATTGTTAGTGCCTGGTGATGCTCACTTTAAGTTTGGGACAGCTCCACCAGCTCCAGATTCACCAAACAGCTCCACTCCATGAAAAGTTACCCAAACGGTCTAGCTTCATGAAATCTAGATTCACAAAAACGGTGAATCTAAGGGCCAGATTCACCATTTTGGTGGAGCTCCTCAAGGGGTGCTCCACCAAACTCAAATTGGTAGAGTTGGGAAAAATTATCCACCACTACCACTGGTTACATACCCCTATCATACCGGTTCGTTTCTTTTCTTTCTTGCCCGACCTTCTTCATGACTCCGACGATGCGCCATGGTGAGGGCCGCGCTCGCTCGGGTGATTCCAGCCGTCTCCGGCCGACCTAGCAGCCACGCCGCCCTCGGCACGCGTCCTCCCAGGCCGCCGCGCCCGCCCGCCCCCGGTGAGGCCGCACCCGCCACCGGTGAGTCTGCGCGCCCCTGGCGAGGCCGCGCCCATCACCGGCGCCTACCATGGTCGCTCGTCCAGCTGCGTAGATTCGAAGAAGACGGGAGAATTTTTTTTGTTTTACCCCCTAACGCGTGGGGGCCCCTATCCCAAGGGCAAATCAGGCCATTTCAAACAAAATGCCCTTGCCTGAATCTAGAGCTAGTTGTGTAGCCAAATGGTTCCACGTTGGATCTTAGATCTACCGGTATAAATGCTCCTATGTGAATCCTAGATCCATATTCACTTTTTTAAAGGTGGAGCTATTCCAAACAGCCCTTAACCATACTCCCCTCCGCTCAGCTTGGCTCGTTGGACGCGGCTTACCTGCTCCACGAGCGTGCTCCCGTCGCCCTTCCGTTGCATCAGACGACTTCTTTTTTTTTCTAAGTTAACACCTTTGAGGTAACAACTTTGAAGTAACAACTTTTCATTTAAATTCTTTTAGAGCACCAAATACGCAATAAAATGTTGTAAGAGATGGATAAAAATAGCATCTAGTGCGAGAAAAAAAGGATCTCTTATCTAGGCAAGAAGTCATGTGTGAGATGGCAATGAGGCTACTTACCGAGAGGGATCTCTCAGGTTTGAACCCTACAAAACACATACTCGCAAAAACAACGGGGATCTCCATCCGGAGAGGCTGAACTGAAGGACATCATAGGTGTTTCGGTCATCGATTGATACACAGCGGCACAGCCTGCCTTGAAATTTTGGAAACTGCGTGAACCTGTTCCACGACAAGAAATCTGACCAACTGAGCGCACTCAATCGCAACAACAAATATCATGCTGATCAATACATGCAACCAATTCTGTGCTGTACTTAACCAAATCTAGTCTCTGCATTGCAAAATGTTAAATGAAAATTTTTACTTAAAATTGGTCACACTCCATAACCGAACTAGACTTGACAAAATAATCACCATCATATTGCTCAATTCTAGCATTTTCACATCTTGCACAACATCTTCATTATTCAGAAAATGAGAACTATGACATAGTTTTACCGCATTACACAACTGAAAAGTAGAAAAAAAAATCTCATACTTCAAATATATTTTCCATTGAATTTCAGATATATTTTCCATTGGAATTTCAAATAGATTGTTCAGTTCTCTAGAGTTTAGTCTATAACGAAGTGTCACTAGCTAGGTTTGAATTTCTTTTGAATGAAAAGTTTGGATATTTTTTCCATTGGTAAATCAAACCTTCTGCATGATTTTGTGATGAGATTGAACCAAATTATTCTAGAGGTTAATCCAATGTTCAAGTTATAATGGTTTCAAAAAATAACTTTCTTATGTCTTAGAACTTAATTAGCTGAGCTCTTGACTTCAGATAAATAGGAGCAGCAAAGAATTTAAGGCCGATGCTATGGAGATTATAAAACTTATCTTGGCCAAGTGCGGTGGAATTCCTGGAGTTATTGTTGGTATTGCTGAAATAATAGGTGCAAACATAAGATCATATATGGGTACCAAATTTCTTGAGGTTCTAAATGATCATTTTATGGGCAACTTGGAGACCTATAGTAAACGTCATTGGGTGTTTGAGAAAACAAAACCTGATAATTTTAGGGGTCTACTTTCATGGATGCAGTCCTACTTTGATGCTTGCTCGGATTCACTCAAGCCATGTATCTTCTATCTATCCATCTTCCCTAGGGGACACAACATTAGGCGAAGGCGATTGCTGAGAAGATGGATCGCAGAATGCTACTCTAGAGACACATCTCGTGGTACATCAGAGGAGAATGGGGAGAAGCTGATCTCTGAACTCGTCGACTTGAGCATAATCCAGCACAAAACAAGCAAGGTCCTCTGCCAAGTAAATGGTTTTTTCCATGAATACATCATCTCACGGCCACTGGAAGATAACCTTGTCTTCGCACTGGAGAGGAATTGCAGCCTGAACTCAGAACGTGCAGGGCAACATCTCACCATAAGGAGCATCTGGGACAGGGACGACATGACAGTGTTTACAAGCATGGACTTGTCACGTCTACGGTCATTGACAGTGTTTGGGAAGTGGATGCCATTCTTCATCTCAACAGATATGAGACTGCTTCGGGTGCTAGATTTGGAAGATGCATCTAGTATAACAGTTGATGACCTTGAGCAGATTGGGAAGGTTCTCCCTCGCCTCAAGTTCCTTTCTCTACGAAGATGTAAGAATATTTGGCGGCTGCCAGAATCTTTGTGTGGCCTGAGCCAGCTGCAGACTCTAGATGTCAGATACACCTTCATAGTCATGCTGCCACCGGCTATCGTCAGGCTAAAGAAGTTGCAATATGTCCGTGCTGGAAATGCTATATCATCGTCTGATGAATATGATGAGACTGTTGCAAGCTTACCAGCAGCAGGCGTAGACAGGACAGCCACACCACTGGAGGATGGTGATGATGGCACGGCCGCAACCATGCATGCACAAACAGGTGATGTTCAGACATCAACACATTCAACGAGCTGCATGCCACGTAGTTCGGTATCAAGCTGGTTGTCCAAGTTTTGCCGCACACGCCGACTTGATAATGGCGGTGTCAAGGTTCCTGCAGGGATTGGGGAACTGGCGGCCTTACATACTCTTGGTGTTGTAGATGTCAATGTGGCAGGTGGTAAGGCCAGCCTGAACGAGCTCAAGAAGTTTACACAGTTGAGAAAGCTTGGGGTGTGCGGTGTCAGTCGGGAAAACTGGCATGACTTGTGTTCTGTCATCTCAGGTCATGCCCATCTCGAGTCTTTGTCGGTTCAGGTCAATAATGATAAGGAGGGTGTCTATGCTCGCCTGGATGACATCACACAGGCACCAATGACCCTGAATAGCCTTAAGCTGTATGGGCACGTACAGATATTGCCAAGCTGGATCATGCACCATGAGAATCTCAAAAAGGGTTGTTAGGATCGAATTGAGTACCTTTCTGTGTGTAACCCGTAGATCCGTAGTTAGGCTCCTCAACCTTGCGGAGCTTCACCGCAGCGGCAGCGTGGACGCCGATGCCGCCCTAGATGCAGCCTCGCGGACGCCAGTGCTCGGCGTGCTGATGAGGAGGCGAGGTGACGATACAGTGGGGCGACGGCGGTGACCTGCAGTGGGAGACGGCAATGGTGGGGCACATCCCGTCGCTGGCAGCACGCTTTAGGATCGGTATTAGGGTTTTCTTTGGTGGGTGTGGCGGCTCCAGTGAACCTCGTAGTCCGAGCCCTCACCCCCACCTTCCTTTTATGTGTGCTGTGCGACAGGGGCCCACCAACCGAATTAGGGTTGGGCTCCCCCGATCAGGGAGCAGAGATAGGGCCCAATAGGCCGTTGGGCCTATTGGTGGAGATCAACTAACATTCTCCCCCTTGATCTCATTCCATCTTTCACTTTCATATCATTTGCTTTTGTTCATTCCATTACAGATTAGCTCATAGAGCATGTCTCATCGTCACGGTCCATTGCCGATAGACTTAACAGCTACAACTCACTACTCTGTTCTGAAATAGATACTTATCTTTGGGCCTTCTTTTGTCCAGGAATATTTTAGGCTTTCCCTTAAACCCAAGCTAGCTACATGTTCTCTGAACACCATGTCCTCTGAACATGTTGGGTGGTAAGCCTTTTGTAAGCGGATCCGCGAGCATCCTTTCTGTTCTTATATGCTCAAGACTTATGACTTGATCCCGGACTTTATCTTTCACAACATAATACTCTATGTCAATGTGTTTGGCAGCACCACTTGACTTATGTTGTGAGTATACTGTACTGCCTGATTATTATCGCAGTATCACTTAAGTGGTCTATAGATGTCGTCAACCACCTTCAAACCGGGTATGAACTTCTTTAGTCAGTTCACCTGCCCGTTGCCTCATATCACGCTACAAACTGTCATACATTGTGGACGATGTAGTGACGGTTTGCTTTGAGCTTTTCCATGAAATAGCTCCCTTTTGCGAGATGATAGAAAATCCACGTCTGGATATGCATTCACTCTCGCATAATCAGAATCTGAATATCCCACCATGTGGAGTGAATCAGATCTTCTATATGTGAATGGATCATAACCATCCACACTCTTTATAGGAAAGCTGACCACAGATGTCAGTGTGAATAATATGTAAAATTCCTGTGCTTCGTTTGTCATCTTTCTTTACATACTTTCCTTTTATGCATTCTCTGCATTGAACTTAATCTGAGAGCTCTAATGGAGGAAGAATATCATTCTTAACTTGTCTTTCTATTCTTCCCCTCGAAATATGGCCTAAATGACAGTGTTATAATTTCGACAACGCATCGTGAGCTCTCTTATGCCACCATTTCCAGAGTAACACTCTGTGACCAGCTTTATCAGCTAAGTGGCATATCTTTGAAGAGCCAGTGAACTGCTCTTTATTCTATCGAGGTACTTGGTGACCGTGTCACATTCTGGGATTGAGTCCACAATTGTAGGTTCAATCATGTTCTTTATCACAGCCAAACATTTCTTGTTTGCAGTGACCCACTTTCTATGCTCAAAAGCCATATGATATCTTTTGGGATTCAAAATCCCTTTCTTTAGTTGCCCAAGTGGCATCATTCTCTTTTGTCTCCCTCACCAGTGCCACAAACTCAGTGGAACACGGTGAGGTGACTACCCAGTCCACCTTAAACAAGATGAAAACCAGGTCAAATCTTTTCTTAACATAAAATTAACACCATTTGCATGCCTTGATTCCAACGTTGGTCAAAATCAAAACATACAACTATTCTTATACACTAATTCTACATCACCGTTGAGCAGAAATAGAATTAATGCATAAATCTTTAACTTTCATAACTGTTCTTACACACTAATTCTACATCACCGTTGGGCAAAAGTAGAATTAATGCATAAATCATTAAAATTATCAACTTTTCTTATACACTAATTCTACATCACCGTTGGGCAGAAGTAAAATTAATGCATAAATCATTAGCATTACGATATTGTTATTAACAACGTTGGTCAGAAAATAACAACATCATAATCATGTCAAAACTCCTTTTCTCCAATTAAATACCACATTGGTTCAAAATAATTGGAGAATCAACATTTTCTTTAGCAGCGGAAAAACTTTCCTTTTCTTGAATTTTACCCACAGGGAAAATTGCTTTTTATATTTTCTTTAATCCATTAATCAATTTCCAGGAAATAAACATTTACTGGAAAAACTTTCCTTTTCTCCGGTTAAATATCACGTCTGTTCAAAATCACTAGAGAATATACCTTTTCTTTAGCAGCGGAAAAACTTTACATCAATTTCTTGAATTTTACCCACAGGATAAAATTACTTTTTTTCTATTTTCTTTTGAGCCATTTTACATTTTCAATTTTCTAGAAAAGGAAAAAGAAAAAGCGGCTCTTGCTTTCTTTTCTTTTCGCCTAAAAGCCCACATACGACCCTACGCCCTTCCTTCTTCAGCTTCCCCAGCCTGAGCCGCAACTCCGGGCTCTGGGCGAAATTCGCCCGGCGCAGCGCACCCGTCTGGGCTGGCCAGCCGCCCGATCAATCGGTGCCATTGATTCCAATCGGACGGCCGAGCGGGCGTTTCGGCCGGTCAAAACCCCAGCACCGCTCGGCTCATCGCAACCCTAGCTTCATTCGCCCCTTGCCCTTCTCTCTCTTCGCTCGCCGCTCTCTCTTCTCTCTACCTCAGCGCAGCCGCAGCCACTGAGAGGACACCGAGCGGGAGTGAGCAGCGAGCCACGGCGCCGTCGCCGGCCCCCTCGCCGGCGCGCGTGCTCCCCGATGGGTGAGCACGCCGCCGTCGAGTGGCCTGGCCGTGGCGCCCCCTTGACCGAGCCCGGCGAGCAACTGCCCCCGCTCGGCACTTCTTCTCCCGCGCCGGCGAAGGGACGATTCGCCCGGTGATTAGGGTTTGGATTTTTCTCTTCTTTTCTCTGATTTGCTGTTCTTCCTTTTCTTTTCTTTGACATCCGAATGGATCTAGGGTTAGGTTCTCCTTTCTTTTCTTTGACATCCGAATGGATCTAGGGTTAGGTTCTTCTCTTCTTTGGATTTTTCTTTTCTTTTCCTTTTCGGAGTTCATCCGAATGGTTTTCATCTTTTTCTTTCTCCATGCGAGTTAGGGTTAGGTTCGGTTGAACCCATCTTTTTTTTTCTTTGTTCTTTTTCTTTTCGCTTGAATTTCCCGAACAGATTATCCCCGTTCTAGGGTTAGGGTTTCGGCTCTGTGAGCCTAGGGCCCTATTTCTTCTCTGATCCGAATGGATCTGTTCTTTTCTTTACTTTTGCCGTGCGCCGTCGAACGGTGTGGCTCCTTTCCCCCACGCGCGGTGGCGGTGATGACCGGTAGACCGTGAGCCGGTCTCTCTTTCTTTTTGCTTTTACCCGGTTAGGGTTAGGGTTACACAGAGTCAACCTGGCTCTGGTACCATTGTTAGGATCGATGTGAGTACCTTTCTGTGTGTAACCCGTAGATCCGTAGTTAGGCTCCTCAACCTTGCGGAGCTTCACCGCAGCGGCAGCGTGGACGCCGATGCCGCCCTAGATGCAGCCTCGCGGACGCCAGTGCTCGGCGTGCTGATGAGGAGGCGAGGTGACGATACAGTGGGGCGACGGCGGTGACCTGCAGTGGGAGACGGCAATGGTGGGGCACATCCCGTCGCTGGCAGCACGCTTTAGGATCGGTATTAGGGTTTTCTTTGGTGGGTGTGGCGGCTCCAGTGAACCTCGTAGTCCGAGCCCTCACCCCCACCTTCCTTTTATGTGTGCTGTGCGACAGGGGCCCACCAACCGAATTAGGGTTGGGCTCCCCCGATCAGGGAGCAGAGATAGGGCCCAATAGACCATTGGGCCTATTGGTGGAGATCAACTAACAAGGGTAACCTTGAGATGACTGTAGTAACGCAAGAGGAAATAGACGTCATTGGAGAATTAAGATGTGGAGATGTCTTCCATCGTCTTTGTGTCAAACCGACTGAAGATGGCGAACTACGTGTTGGTAAGCTGGAAGATGGTTCCCGCGAGCGTCGTGATTGGTCTGGGAAAGAGTTCAGAGTCCGGGTCCTCGAGATTGATTGCAGCTGCAGGTTGCACGTAACTTGTGGGCACTGGGTGAACATGTATGTTGAGCTGCTGATTGTTCGCTGCTCTAGTGGGTCATCTTTGGAGGTTTCTGGGCTACAGTATCTATTTGGTCTCAATGAAGTGTGGCTTAGGGGTTCCTATGGTGACGAACTCAAGGAAGACTTGCAGCGCCAAATTGATGAGATGCCCGAGGATACGAAGAAACCTGTACTGAAGCTCGAGGAAGCACAACGACATTCATCGTGATAAATGGGCCGAAATACTTGCTTCTTCTTGTAATCCGCAAATAAAAAGGCAGAATTTGCAGATACAACATCAACTGAATGGTTAGCTTATATTTATGATATTCTGTCAAACTGTTTGCTCTCGTAGTCTTCTACTCTTTCTTTTTAGGGCAAAGAGAGATTTACTGATTGACTGAATTGGGGGTGTTTACAGTCATGGGCAATTGTTTCAGCAATCCCAGGTGGCCTTTGACACTCCACACACGAAGTCTAAAAGTCACACCAGTCATGTGCATCCCTGTTACAATCTCTCATCACTCTTTGCTGCTGCTCTGCTCCCCTCTGTGCCGTGTAGAGGGGAGCAAAGCAGCAGCTCTAGGCATGCCAATCCTTCCACTTCTGCTGCTGCATGGCTTGCCCGGAAGACTTTGGTGTATTCCTCTTTCAAAGAAAGGTGGACCTGGAGGAACAAGCTAGCCGAGGAGGAAGACAAGAGAGAAGAGCACAGAATAACAAAGGAGTTTGTTAGGAATTGTTTGGCAGACCGACCTTTCATAGCAGCTTCTAGGCTGAAATTAGGGCAGCTATGTCAAATAGGCTTTTCCAAAGAAGTGACTCTATGTGAAGCGATTCTTGAACTATGATGCTGGGAGCCTAAAAAAATAGCTTCTGAAGCACTCACAACTGTGGTTCAGAAATTAGCCAATCAAACGAAGTGCTTATCCAATAAATTAAACAAACAAGTGAACAAGAAAAAAATTGGAAAAACACGAAATTACCATAGAAACACGTGAAGTGTGAACCAGAAGGCAAAAATCGTGAAAGATAAATGGGCCTAATAGACTGGATCACGTAAGCCCATGCGGCAGCCCACGTACCCCTTCGTTAAATTCCGGTCAGCAAATCTTACCGTGAATTTGGGAAGAGAATCTCTTGGCGAGTGGCTCTGCAGTAGTGTTATCAAGGGGTCGATGGGCACAAGCTTTTTTTGCCTTTACTTATCTTCGATATTGTGCTATTATTTAGAACGTGGCAGTGTGAGCAAAGAAGAAAAAAAGGGTTCCATGCTTTTGAATGCTGATAAAATGGTAGTAATAGACAAAAGTGTTCAATTTCCATGTGTAAAATGTCAATTTGAATCCTAAGCTGAAGTGAGGATGCTGTATATTTCAATACCACTCGCCTTGCATTTCCAGTGAATGACATTTGCACTCTGCTGCACAGATGGCAGCATGTGGCTTTACACTACACACGCAATGGATTGAGCACGTAAGGAGCACAGCATTGCGTCAGTTAAGCGGTCGTCGCCATCTATTTATTCTCATAAATTTGAATCACAACTTACCTCCTAGGCTCCTACTGCTGTTCTATGTGAGATTGTGGAGGATGCAGATGGCTCCATGGCCGCCCTTCCAAAATTACGTGCATTTGCTGCTGAAATGGACAATTTGAAGATTATACCCGTTGCTGACTTGATTATAAATGAACTTGAGCTCGTGGTGCTTTACATGTTGCCAATTTGCCCCAAAGACAATAGTCAGCAAGTAGGCATGGCATACATCGAGGTGTCATTACTAATTTCTAATTACCATTACTGGTCAACAATTTTCTCTTTGATTATTAATTTGATGCGCGTATGTTAAGATGTACATCAACAATTAAAAATACCACTCCTTCTATTCCAAATTATAATACGTTTTAGTTTTTCTAGGTTCATAATTTTTTATATGCACTTAGATATAGCGTACGTCTAAATACATAGCAAAAACAATATATAAAAAAGTTTAAACATCTTATAATTTGGAGCATCCAGTTGTCAGCATAAGTCATGTATTCCAGCATATCACAGAGCGAGAGGGTTGTATCATGACGTAACCGATAACGAATGAATCCCAATGTTGCGTTAAAAAAAATGGAAGTGGGCTACTAATGCTGATTGCATGGTCCCTGCAAATTAATCGTGCTGAATTGCTTATATATGCACAAAAGGCGACGAGGGACTGACGACGGCTGCGTAGAGCCAGTTCTTGGCTTCTTTCGTTCGATAGAAGAAGAAAGAAAAAACTGAGAGGTGCATCTAGACCGGTGCCGCGAAGAGCCGAAGACTCGAGCTGCCACCCAATTGGGTTGTAGTACAACGAAAAAATTTATTTAAGGGGGTGTCCAGCTCACAGCTTGGACTGATGGACCTGTTATCTGGGGAGCAGGTGAGACTCTGACACGCGCCAGCTAGAGTCAAACTCTCCATGAATTGAAAACGTGGCCAAACGTGTTCCATCGGAAAACACATCGGTTGCAAACTGTTTTTGATGGAAGTAAACATGAAAAAACTCCACTAAAAAAAGTAAACATGAAAAAGCCCTTAAAAATAGTATTTTGTTATAATAAGCACCTAGGGGACAAAATCGGGCTTGGCTTCCGTTTTCTTTTAGCTTTTAGTCACTTGATTGAGGTCCATAGTTTTTCTCAGGTTGTGCTAAGTGTGTGTTGTTCAAGTTGTTGGTAGAGTCAGTGTTAAGTGAATGAAGAAGGTAAAGTTTTAGTAGTTGGCCTTTCTGCTTGAGCTACTGATCTTTGTATTTTAGTCTGGGTGGTTTTGGGCGTTCGTCAGTTGTCACTCAAAAAATAGACTTACACTCTTTTTATATTTTCTGTTAATAAAAATTATGACAAAACTTTGTCGTCCTTTTAAAAAAAAGATGGTGTGCAGGTACTTAGTCAAAAGAAGCTAAGGTACATAAATCCGTACAAAAATCACAAATTTGAATGATGCTTTGTCACGACAGAAAGTTAATAGGGTACATAGCTATCAAGCTAGTTTAACCTTAAATTTCTTGCTTTGTCAGCAAGTTAGTAGAGAAGAGTCAATTGCATTGTCAGGCAGATTCGTGCGCCCTGCATCTCAGATTTCCAGGACCTAAGTACGTACCGACTGCACAGACAATAGGCCTGTTTAGCATTTAAATAAGTTGCTGTTACGTTGAGAGCTTTTGCACCGAAAACGACGGCCTGCATTGAATATTGAACAGTACCACAGTAGTGTCCCACGTCTCGAGGATAGGGCCTCGTTCGTTTGCTTATAATTCGTATTTTTCAACTTGTTTTTTTTATTAAAATAATATTTTTTTATAACAAATCAGCTGAAATAGTATTTTATGTTTTTTTTTCAGCCAAGCGAATGAAGCCATCGTCGCTCTGAATTGTTAGGAGAGGAGTTGGTGCGGTGTTTGTGGCTCCTTTAGTTTCAGGATTTGCCAACCCAAAAGCTAAAGCTAGGATGACTTCTATATTCATTACAATTTACAAAGATGTTAACTAAGGAAAATACTAACATAATATTGGAACGAAAAAAGAGAGATAAAAAATGGTCTCGTAGACAATAAACTATTACACTATTCCTCAGCAAGCTGTTCCACGCAGCTGCTGTTTTTGGCTCAAGGGAACACCCTCTATATCTAAAGGTAAACCAAGATATGAAAAGATGTAATAGGTGGATAATGAAGCGAGAAGACACTTAAATTGTGGTTAAACAAAAATATATTTTTTAAAAAAATATACATTAGAATATAATTTCTACACCCGTGTTCTAAATTATAAGTTGTTTTGACTTTTTGTTTCATTTATTTTACTATGTATCTAGGCATATTATTTATCTAGATGTATAGTAAAATGAATGTATCAAAAAGAGTAAAATGCACGCTGGGTTCTCAAACTTTTGGAGCAGTTCCATCTGGTCCTCAAACTAAAAAAGAGAGTATGGGTCTGCTTGGTTCTTGCAGTTTTCTAAAATTCATGTCACATCGAATGTTTGACACATGCATGGAGTATTAAATATAGACTAATTATGAAACTAATTGCACAACTTATGACTAATTTGTGAGATGAATCTTTTAAGCCTAATTAGTACATGTTTTGACAACGTTGTGCTACAGTAAACATGTGCTAATGATAGATTAATTAGGCTTAAAAAATTGTCTCGTAAATTAGCCTCCATATATGTAATTGGTTTTGTAATTAATCTATATTTAATGCTTCTTATTAGTATATAAACATTCGATGTGATATGAATTTTATGAGCGACTATAGAACCCCTATATCTGAGTTCTTCATCTATTGTTGCCATGCACCCGAGCTCCAAAACCTACCCCACCAGCGCTAGGATCTGACGTGGCCATGCCACAGTGGTAGCTGGACGCTGGAGCCTGCCAACTTCTAAAAAAAAACCTATCCTTTTTTCTTTCTCGCTGCCAAGTGCCTGCACGTGTGGAAGCTGCTCGCCGTGGCCGCGGGCGGTCTCAACGCGCACTGCCGCGGGGCTCGGGTCCAGCATCAGTGGTGTGCCTCCTTCCTCTCCTGCCACCGCAACCCCTCCTTTGGCCGCGCGCGCCTCCCCGTCGAGCACCGTCGCCGCCTCCTCCCACTTCCGCTCCTGGAGCACGCGCCGGAGGTGGCATGCAATGCAATGTGTCGCAGCCCAAGGACTACGGCAGCGGCGGCGGCTAGAACGGCAAGCCGGTGCAACCCATGGCGCTCGGCCTGCGGCGCTTCTTGGCCATACTCCTGCTCTCCTTCTGCGTGGGGAACGACAGCCTCTGCTGCGACCGCACGTCTCTGCTTCGGAACTCCACGACGGAGGAGGAGCGGCTGATATAGGGCAACGTGTACCACGAGTTCAACGACGACATCCTGCCGCTGTTCGTGACAGCGAACCACCTCCAGCGGCGCGTGGTGCTGGTGATCCTCGAGTACCACGACTGGTCGACTTCACCGCCGACCGCCGTTTGCCAGTGTGCACTGCTTCCGCGAGCTGACCGTGGAGCCGGTGAGTACCTTTCTGATAGAGATAGCGTTGAACTCGTCTTGAAAGTAATCCTCCCGAGCTCATCCCTGCATGCAACATATCATGGCGTGCTGTGTGCATGCCAGTAGGGCGAGATTAGCTCGTCCGCTCCTTTCCTTTTTCTGGCTTTCTATTTTTAGCGTCGAGAAAAGCTATCGCGGTTACAGCACAGATCCAGTTTT